AATGTTTATCAGGATATCAGCAACATTTTACTAGTTAGCCACTTTTTGATATCTTTCACAGAAAATGAGATATATAGGCTCAAAGTGGACGATCCGGGTGTCGTTCTATTAGAGGTTTTACGGTAATAACATTCGATTCATACACAACCTGTCTTAAACCAAAAATACCTTCTAGGAGTGGTAGTAGGTTCTGGAGCTGGGGTCGGGAGTTCTGTGGGGTTGGTTGGAGCATTTGGGGTGGTAGCTGGAACTGTTGGAACTGGAGCTGGCACTATAAAAATGAGAAAAATTAATTTCAAATTCTTGAATAAAAAATAACAACCTTCATGACATGGTGGAAGAGCACAAAGGACCGGAGTTCGCACAACTTGTGGGTAATAGACCACTGGCTGGTAAACTGGACGGACTGCGGTGAGTGCATCAGTGTAAACAGTTCGGAATGTTGCCGGCGCCACTAAATGCTCTTGTTATTGTTATTTTTGTTATTGTTCAGAAACGATGGGCTCCTCACCTCCAGCTGGAACTTGGTAAACACCGTTCACCGCCGCCGCAGGGGCTGCGGATGGCACGCATTGAGTTCCGGATGGTTGATAAGCTTGAGCACATTGACATGTTCCAGCGGCGCACACTGCTGGGGCAGCGCAGGTCAAATATTCGTTACAGGAGGAGTAGAGAGGGACTGAAAAAGTGAAGTGATACATTGTCTGAATAACGTAAATTTAGATTATTTATCTCTTTTTTTTTGAAAGATTTCAAAAAATGGTCAACTGACAAAGTTCTCACCATGATATCAATAATCTTTCATCTCTTGACAATTTTTGAAATTTTTCACGGAAAAAGAGATAAATTGGCTCAAATTAAAAAAAAAATTCTAAAATTTTGGAGGAAATAAAACCGCTTCCTGAATTTTTGATGGCATTCGTGTAGTCAGTAACTCAAAACACCCCAGAGTTTAAATTCTAGTTCTGAAGTTACGATGAGCAAGATTGATAAAATTTTACAGATTTTCGGTATTAATAAATTTCTCAATTATTACTGTACTTTGTTGCGCAATTTCTCCTGCTAATGCTTAAATGGACTAGGACTGATTTGAAAAGAAATGGAAAAACAGAAAATGAGAAATAGATGTCTAGTGATTATAAGAAAAATTGAAAAATTGATAACATGAAAATATCTAAAAAGGGAAAAGTGTAGAAATAAAAACTGCGATAACCAGAAGACTTTGAAATCTTAGTATTTTGTTTTATGAAAAAAATTCAAATGAAATTAAAACATACCAACACCAAATTGTCGTTTTGTTCGTCGAACGCTGGCAGCATTCGTTAAAGCTACTAAACCAATTAGAACTAAACAACAATACTGTTTCATTTTTCAAAAAATGTTTCGTATCCAAACTCAGAATACTGTAATACTGTTGAACCAACACGTAAAACTTTCAGCCCCACTTCGTATATTTATATGACTATTCTTTCGCTCGTTTTTCTCCACCCACCCAGGCAGCTCCACCTATGCCGAACACAGACCGGTGTGCTAGATGCCGTTGCGGCAACGCCAAAGGACACGTGTATATGTGTGTAACTTGCCCAAAAAAAAGAGGCGATGAAAAAAGGTATGTATTATTTGTATTTGAGTGTACCGCGCCGCCGCCAACGATGCGGCACCGAGAGTTGCTACCACACAAGCACTTATAAACAAACGGACACTTTTTCACGGCTTTTGCCATTGTCGTAGGAATAATTAAGCGGCGTCTGCCAGTCGTAAGACGTCCCGAAAAAAATCGTTGAGACTGACACTTTGTCAGGTTGCAATCCGATCTATTGTCAGGTATGCGAAAGGTGATCCTTATTCTGTCTTCGAAATATTTATTCAATTTATAGAATCATCCGTCGGTGCTAAAATGTAAAAAAGTGCAACAAGTGGCACGTAGGATTGTTGAAGATGTTTGTGCAGCAACACAAAAACACAGATCGGAAGTGCATAATCCTTGAGGATACCGTACACAATGTAATAGAATGACCCATATGATACATTTTGTTTTAACATAAAACATCTATTTCAGTTTGAGGGATTTTTTGGATTCAGTTTTTAAGACGACGAGTAAGTACGAACTAGAGGGACTCATTCAACTTTATCTCTGAGCGTATTTATCTCTGTTCTCCTAAAAGACATCAAAAAACAAGCCACTGACAAAATGTTTTTAATAATATGATGAACATTTTATCAGTTTACAACTTTTTGAGATTTTCGACAGGAATTGAGATATAATTGCTGAAATTTGACGGTTTGGGAGAGCATTTCACATTGTTTACTATAGTCATTTTTTGTTTTTTTTTCCTGAGAAGACCCTACAAGTTTGTAAGTACTTCGAACTGATCCTTTAAAAAACATGTTTCTCTCCTCTTTTCTTTTCAGAAAATTGCCAGCTACAGTAACTTGAACTCAGCGATTCTCACCTAACCATCAACCAGTCTTTTGCTGCTTCCGGTAACCTCTGAAGATTGTCTCGAAGAATTTTTGAAAGGTAATGCTCCATTGTTTGCTCCTAGACCTTGCAAATTGTGTTTTGATGGTTTATGTGATGCTCAAGCATATTCCAGTTACCCATCATCAAAGAGAAGCGCCAATTTTTCCGTACTATTGTTGGTTTTTTTGGTGCCTTCAATCTTTTCAATAAGTTTTATGTTAACCTCCCATTGATCTTTGTTGAGCAGCTTCCGATAACAACCGGGCGGCTGATGACTCAAAAAAGTTTTTTTTGGTCTCAAATGTGGCCTGATGCGCACCCAAGACCATTGTCTTCCGCAATTCTTTTTTCTTTCCGCGCTTCCCGCGCGTACAATTTCCGATCATCGTCCACGTGTCAATACTCTCTTCCTTTCACGCTGTAGCAATGAAAGAGGGCGCTTGGTGTCAAAAGATGTACTGAATTCTTTTCAACTGAACAAATATTCTTTAGTAGTTTGTCTGGTTTCATGTAAATGTACTCAACAAAAGAAAACTGACACGGAATGAGTAATCCCCCATCTTTCTCATCTTGATTTTGAGTGATGAGGGGAGGAGAAGAAAGTAATGATGACTTTAATCTATTCTAGAAGTTAAAAAGTTCCGGATTCAAAGTAACACAAGTCAGAGGAGAGTCCAAAATGAGTTGAGCTGAATTTGAAATGTGAGGTGGGTTGAGTTGGCAGCGTGTCACCGTACAACAATAGGAATGCTGGTCTTTCTAATACATGTTTTAGAGTATCTTGTTTCCTATTGGAAAAGAAAAAAAGCATTGCCAACTAATGAATTGATGGTCCTGGTACCACCATTTTGTTCGCTTACAAGAATTAGTTATCTTTTACAGACTTTCAGATAATTGAGCTGAAAATCTCAGTATAGATTTGCCTTCTATTAAAGAATTATTTCTGTACGACATAACAAAACAAACAACAGCAACAAACCTGGAAATTGTATTCTCTTCATGAAAAACTTTTTTTTTATAAAGACGCTTTCCAAACATATTCTGTCAAATAGTTTTTTATTTATTATATGCTCCTCCAACCACTAAACATCACTGGTCCACATTTTTTGATGTTTGCAAATTCTTCTAACTAAAAATTATCAAAACATTAGTTAATCCTTCTTACGTAATCGAAATCTCATTTGCATATCCCGACTATTTCCGAATGCCCTTTTTCGTGTGATCAACTGATCAAATCTGTTCTGAAGACGTTGAACTAAATCCCTTGCGACAGGATCAGTAGATTTCTAAATGTTACTACAAATCACAAACAAAAGTGATCTTGGTTCTGGTTCCGGGTTCTACATCGAGTAAATCATAACTTGAAAAATGTTAAATAATAAAACTGTTAGGCGAACTTTGAAGTTTCATCCTGAATGAAGTTCTTTGTTAAGTTATTTTATCAGTGTCATTTAACACAAGTATCATAGTGTTTATGTTCTCAGGCCCTTATGTTCTAGGTCCATATGTTTTAATTACTTCGTGATTTTCTGAATTTAAAAAAAATACAATTCCATTCACATGATCATTACGTAAAATACAAACCAATTTCAGACAAATTTTATAAGAATACAAACTTTGTGTCAGCTGGGCGCACCTTTTGGGACAATTCTGAATCTCCCCACGCAATCGAAATGCACGTAGTTTGAAATTCTGGCCGTCTTTTTAAAAGAACAAATTTGGTATTACTGTCTGATGTGTTGTTGAAACATCTGACATCATCCTTATTTTTACGTTGAGAATATGATAATGAAGAAAATATATCAAAAGATCACGGATAATAAAAATAGTCGTTTCTCTTTAATTTCATGCAGGCCACTTGATCATTCACAAAAAAGACAAGTAATTGTTCATGCTGTGTGGTAAGAATGTAGTGTTAGGTTCATGTTCAAAGCATAGAACATAACATTTTTTTATTTGTGGGGGAGGGTTAATTTGAAACCGATATCAAGATGTTTCAATAACTTTTGTATGCGGCATGAATTTCATTACTGGAAGCCACTTTTTTGAGTCCCAAGGTAAATTCCAACCAAATCTCTATAGTTTGAACTTTCGCATGATGAATTTTCCGACTTTTTCAAACCTAAAACCTTTGTGATTCTTAAAACCCACTACTTCTTACGGTGACCCTCCATAAAAAAAGAAATATACGAATTGTAACCCAGTCCATTCCGGAAAATCATTTCTCGGAGTCCCATTTGTTTTTCAATACACAACGAGCTATTAGCTTTTCTAAAAGTCATTGCTATTACAACTTTGAACGACCAACAACTTGGCAACATCCCAAGAATGGGTGACCAGCGTCAATTACACTTGGTTCCAATTCTTACACTGCCACTCACACTCCCTTTCTTCTTCTCCTACGTTTTCTATCTTTTTGTGATCATTGGGCATCGTATAACAGTGAAAAGTTCATTATCTTCAAACTGAGAACAACGAATTAAACATTCGGGAATCAATGATGAGAAGAAACTTTCGGGAGGATTGAAAATTCGAAAGTTCATTTTTTATAAAATTAGGGAAAGCATATAAAATGAGGAGGAGATTTTTAGAGCGAAAAGAGATCGAATTAATGTTGATTGAAGAAGAAAAAGGAGAACATGTATGGCTTATTAAACTATAACGAAGTAGTTCTGCTCGTCTCCCAAACCGTATCCAGCGTCTCCAAAGCCATATGCCTCGTACGGGAAGGTATCTCCAACGGCTTTCCTGAAAATTAACAACTTAGTAGCTGAAAATCTAAAAAACAAATCGATGTGGTCCTTTTAACTAGTTGATCCCAATATTCTCTATTCAACTTACTTGTTATGGATCTGCTTGAAAATGTTGTTGAGCATCTTGCTCTTCGAGTAACTTGTCGGAATCGAGAGAACCGCAACAACGAGCACAACAAGCAGGAAGAAATGTCCAATTCGGAGCATTTTCAGCGAGAAGGTAACGAAAGTTTGTGGGCTGAAAAATGAGACTGCGTTGATATTTTGGTCGGAGACTATGAATAGAGAAGAAAAGCAAGCGCAAGGATCTGCAGAAAATATAATGAGTGAATGGGAACTTTATTCAGAGCGTCACGAGGGATTACCGCCTACTTATTATGAGGGTGGAACTGATATTTTGAGCTGAAAATATTTTAGATCAAATTAACCTCGGGGGAGTTGATATGATTAGGTTGGAAAAACCCAAAAGGGTTGTGAAATTGGTTTCTCTTTTAATTTCGTAAAGTCAAAGGGTGCGAGTGCACCGCCTTTTTCTCATTACATTAGTCACTAAGCCTGGTGTTGGAACCTAACAAAGAAGTGTGAGAAGAAGGAAAAAAAGAAGTTGAATTGAAATGTTGCAAAAAATAATAACAAATTCAACGAATTTCGTTTGCAGGAAGACTACTTTCACCTCTAATGTGCTCCTTTTTGAAATGAGAATGGGAAAGCTTATGCGGTGGGGGAGGGGTGTAGTTTGGTTTGGAAATGAAGCTCCACCCACTTGGGATTCCTGACGTATAATGAACAATGGTCTTGCCCTCTAAACCCTTGGAGGTTGGAATACGGTGGATTAAATCATCTAACACCCTCGCAAGAAATAGAAGTCATTGAATCTAAACCAACATAGCAAAAATAGGCGACTAGTCGTAATAATCTGTTTTCCTAGAACTTGGAGTAGTATTTCTTAAGAGCCCCCCGAAAAACTATGGTGGGAAGTTTTTGAAAAAGAGGGTTTTTGAAAGAGATAGAAAGGAAGTAATTCTTATAAAGAAAAAACGAAGTAGGGGGTGGAGCCAACTGAATGACATATCATAGTATTTATGGAAAGAGTCTGTAGAATGGGATAATAAGGATACGAATAAAAATGATGAATTACCCACCGAAAGAAGTCGTGAAATAAGAGAAAATATTTACTCAAACGTTTTTCTCTCCCTCTTTCAAGTTTTGAATGAAATATTTCATTATACTCTGACTCAAAAAGATATAAATGAACATGTCAGAAAAATATGAATGACGATTGGCGAAACCAATTGAATTGATCATTGGAAACTAATCGAATTTTTGTCTCCGAATAAAGTTTCCAAATATGGCACCAATTACCAATGCAAAAACCAAAAACAGAAAGTCACAAAAACAAAGTTACCTAGACAGAAAGCATCTACTTAATCCACACAAATGGTGTACTGTAGTTTTGAAAGCATCATTTCTTTTAATAACCATTTTATGGCAGGCCTGGACATTTGAATTTCAAAAGATGGAATAAAAAATAAGATTAAAACCGCATCGTTTGGCACGCAATCTCTTTTTTCTGAAACTTTAAAAAGAAGTCTAAAGGGGGGTGAGGGAAATTGGAGTGAAGTAATGAAAGAGGTGGTTTATGTCCTGGTACTAAATTTTTAATGAATACCTCCTCTTCTGACCGAGAATAGATACGACGACGCAGTTTAATAGTAAAGGTTAGGGTTTTCCGAGACTAGAAAAATTATATTCGAGGTTTCAATTTATTGAAACAGGGGGAAAAAAATAGATGTGAAGTAACGAACTGGTGAACATTGAGCCGTGGACCCCACCCGCGCATAAGTTTCTCATTTCATCCGAGAAACTGACTCACAGAACTTTGAATGTATTAAATTTTGATTAGTACGGGCATTTTTTCACCCTTTTCCACAACGGATGCATAATTCTGAATGCATCATATGGAGCAAAAAGTACAATACAAAAAATAAGGATGATCAAAGCTATTCTTTATGCTGGATTTTTTCATGCATCATCTTCACTTTTCTCATTTGGAATGGATAAGACACTTGTATAACAAATTGATGGAACGTCGATCTATGCGAGGTTTCTGAAAATAAAATATTGACCTTATTGATAATTAGAAGAATGAGTTCCTTATTGATAGGTTTTCAATTTTAATTTTGTAATCTTGATTCGTTATCAATCTAATGTACCAGATAAAAAGGCTTATCATTTCAAATGTTTTAAGTATAAAATAGTCAACATTGAAACCCCAAAAAATGCCAACATTTTTCCGTCGCTCTGAAAATTTTTGATAATACTAAACATTGTAAATGCCAATTTTTTAAATTCATAATCTTTTGCTAAATTCCATTCGTATGAGATGTGTGACGTTTGTAACCAATACAGTGCCGATAATGAAAAATTTATCATTGTGATGAGATCTGTACCATTTTTGAACTGCTCATTTCGCTTCACTGGATTTTTATTTAAAGAATGGTGATCACAAAAATAAAAAAGACGACGAAAATTCCAAAAAAAAGCGATTCGAGAAAGAATAATCAAGAAGTAACATTATATTTATTCCATCTTTGTACCCACCCACCTTTTTCAGCAACACCTCATTTCCATGAATAAATTTTTATAACTAATTTTTCTTCATTCACACATTTGGCTACAACTCATTATAGTCAGCACAAATGCTTTAAAGACATCCGACTATACTCGATGTTTGAAACTTTTTTCATCTTTTCCTAGAGTACATAATTATTTATTTCTTTCAGTGGTCACGGAACATGAAGTATGGAGGATATCCTTGACCATTGGGAAGCCACGTGGGTTTTTTCAAAAATTTCGGAAAATAAAAAATATTTTGATTGGAATCTGGAAGACGGAGAAAAGTTGCAAAGATACTCAAATTATGAAGTCATAAATCACATATCCGTATTTTGAAGAACTTTCATCGCATACCATTCAATAAAAATTCATTCTGTTCTTCGAAAAAGAAGGCCCACTTCACGAAAAAACCGTTCAGACACTTCAAGAAAGCATCTTACGCTTCTTCTTTATTTTCTCACATGCTTCAACGACAAGTGCCGGTTATTGACCTTACCATATTTGATGAAAAGGTCATTATGGCATGAAATATCTAACAATGAAGCAACAAGAAAGCATTAGCGTTTTTCGGTTGTTGATTCAATCAGAGTTTGACATCACTTGTCAGAAATTCGTCTCAAAAATTCTATGTGAAACATTCTTCTGACAAGTGTCTGTCCCCGGTTTATTTCTTTAGCAAAGACTAGCCGTTACTTTTGACGAAGTTTTTTTTTGTTTTAAGCTAGAGGAGCGTGATAAAGGTTGTCTACTTAAACGATATGAACCACTTTTAGATTTTTTTCAGTTTTCGAGTTTTATGAATACAGACCAGTTGGTCTAATTTTCGAAAAAACTGAAAAATTTTGTTCATTCCAAGACAAGGGGAATTAGAAAAGAAAACTGTTTTACTTATTATTGCAATTCAGTTATTTTTGACAAGGTCAGACCGTTCAAAAACTCTCCGTCTCTAGTATTCTCTAGCTAAAATAACCAATTTGTCATTCCAAACTAAAACTAATCATCCATTCTTCGATTCCCTTTTTTTTCTCATTCTACTCTAAACTACTACTACTTCTTATTCTTTTCTCGAATACTGGTAATACTTGAACTATTCACCTCCGTCTCTCCCTCTCTCACTCTCTTCAAACCAAACTCATCCTTTCACCCCAAACTGTCCTACCCTCCCACCGGTCACAGTCCCGACGGCAAAGCAGCGACGTCGGCTTACACTGTATTGTATCCATTTTATCTATGAAGCGGACGACGCTCCCTATTTTTCTGCTATTACTTTTACACTACTATGGGATCGCCGACGTAGATGGACAAACGGCAACACAGAAGCCTAATGTGTTGTTTATTATGGCTGATGACCTAGGTTTCAATGATCTCGATTGGAAAGATAGCACGTAAGTGGGCAGAACAGTTAGAAAAACATGTTGCGAAAATCGGTGGAGCCTCAATTCGTTCGGAAAAAATGAGTTGGAAAAAAGACTTGAAAATTCAATATGAAACTGAGAAAGAATAGCAATTTTTACAAACTAACTAAATTCATGAATATCAGAGTACTTAAACGGTTCAGAATGTTCTACACGTATTTCGTAGAAAAAGGGTACTACAATACTACAATAGAGAGAAAAAATTCAAACGAAGCAAATATACGTTTTCAATGAATTTTAAGTTACTCTAGACTTTAATAACTTGAAATTAGTAATAGAGGGGTTTCAAACTGTCAATTTTGAGCTTATTACGTGGCTCCTGTGCAAGATATCAGAAATGTGTCTACTAATATAATATTTGTTTTGTTATGAACAACAATTTGTCAGCTGACAACTTTTTGATATCTTCAACGGAAAGCAAGATAAATAAGCTTAAATCGCATGTACTTGTGAACCGAACTTCCGCGAGTTCTGCCATAGTGTCTTTTAGAATTAATACTTTTGGGCCAACTAAAATAGATACGATAGAAATCGACAAGCGTTAAAAAAATGTTATTTGAGAAACTGTATCTTGTCTAAGAACAAAGTTACAGACCTATAGCAGCCCAGCCTGTTTGTTTCCGGTTTGTTTTAACTGTTGCTTTGTTTATAGACAATATTCAGTTTCCAAATAATATCATTTGTAATACTTATCAAATTCTAAATTTAGTTGACCCAAAAATATTGATCCTAGAAAATTAGCTTAAAGTGGAAAGTCAGGAGCCCGATTCACATGTAGTCAGAGTCTGAAAACTTAATTCAAAAAAATTCCTGGAACTGAAAACACTCTTCTTTTATTGGTGCAAAACTTTAAAACAAAAATATTTTTCCAGACTACACACTCCAAATCTTCGTAACCTGGCGTTCCACAAAAACACGGCACTCATGACAAACTCTTACGTTAATCAATTATGCACACCGTGAGTTGTTACTTTGTTTTCCACGAAACTATGTGTTTTTGTTATTTTCTCAGAACCCGAAGCGCTTTCATGACGGGTTACTACCCATTTCGGGTCGGCACTCAGGTACTTAGCAAATTGGAAATTTTTGGACCGTTGAAATGTTTTTTAGGCTGGAGTATTTCTACATATGGAACCAGCTGGGGTACCTACAATGTTTCCATTCTTATCTGAGAATATGAGACAACTGGATTATTCGACTTATTTGGTTGGGAAATGGCATTTAGGATATTGCAAAAAGGAATTTCTGCCAACGAATAGAGGGTTTGACTATTTTTATGGTTTTTATGGACCACAAACGGGATATTTCAATCACTCAGCAGGTACGCTAATCGAGCAATTGTGCTCAAAACTCTTTGGAGCACAAATCATAACTCAAAAGGAAGTTTTTACAATCCAAAGATCAGTTTTGCAATTTTCGACTTTTTAAATACAATGGAAAAATACCTAAAAAGAAGAACAATCGAAGTTGTTTGTTTTAAGAAAAAAAAAACTGAAATGAAAGGAAATTGCTGATGTCATCAAGCAAAAAACGTTTTGTAATTACTTTCACCCCTTGCTTTTTTCTTCCTGCAAAGATCTTTTGCGTGGTGCTCCGCTCATGGGATCTTTCGAAATCTTATCGTATGGAACATCTTTTGTTGCGCATCCAAATGAAAACGTTAATTGAATGCACTTGATTCAAATCAGTTGTTCAAGAGAATATTTGGAAAGCACAATGTTCAGGGAATATTCTACCCAAAATAGGAGTGCACTAGAAGGCATCAACAATAAGGGTCAAAATTAACGCGTGTACTCTTTTTGCAGCCATGAACTGAAATTCAGTTGGCGAGGATAGAACTCGAAATAGAGATAAACAATTTTCGGTACTGTAATGCACTTTCAGACCAATATCATCGCGAACTGAAAAGAGTCGTCAAGGGATTAGACTTGTTTGAAGAAGTTGGGAATGGCAAGAGTGTTCCAGATTTTTCACAGAATGGTGTTTATTCAACGGTATGGTTAAATTAATACAGAAGACATTCACCGAGTTTTAATTTGTGAATTTAGATCAACAGTTTTTGTCAGAACTCTATTTGAAAATAATCGATTAAATAGTAGACGATCAACTTTGGGTGGTTGAAATAGTACCTATTACCATACTAGAAAACGTGCCCTGGCATTGTTTCTTTGTGAATCAATATTTTTGAACCAACTAAAAAAGGTATGATACAATTTGACAAGCATTACAAAATGAAACTGACGGTTATATCGGCTTGTTTGGTCCATAACTTTGTTCACAAGCACGATACAGTCTCCAAATAGTGTCATTTTGTAGTGCTCGTCACATTCCATCATAAACGATTTAGTTGGTCAAAATTATCAGTCCTAAAAGACACCATGACAGGGCCCGCCAGGGCCTGTTCTTTTTATTTATTTCACACAGATCTAGAAAAATGAGCTCAAAGTTAACGTTTATAGACATCACAGATTCTACTGTAAGATTGACACTTTTATTGTGTAAAGGAAAATACGGTAACCTTCAAAAAAACTGCCTATTACAACCAGAAAAACTTCAAAAGTACAGTGACTGTGTAATTAGGTTTTAAATGCCCTTAATGTTTTTTAGTTTTTTGAAACTTCGATGAATTGAAAAAATGTTTACCGTAAATCATACTTGTAGAAAAGATGCCCGCGGGCCGGGCCATGGCCGCGCTAAGGTTTTTCAGAAAGCGGGCCGGGCCGAGCCGGAAAAAAATTACACATGGCCTTTTGAAAAATAAAAAAGCTTTTTGAAAATTTCGAAATTTTAGAGCGAATCATCATTTTTCAAAATGGCTTTTCTTCTTAATGAATGAAAATCCACACTAGAGACCGATTCTGTTGAAAAAAAACTGTTTTGAGGTGGTAATTAGAAAAAAAGTTTCATCCTTGGCTTATTGAAGTTTGATTTTTTTTACTAAAAATGCATTCAATTAACTTTTTCGGATGGTTGTATGCATTTGGTTTAATATTTTGCTATTGTAAATATTTTGGCACATTTGAAAAGCAAAATTTTCGAAAAGTTGTCCTAGGCGTGCCGCGGCCCGGCCATCCACATGTATGCCGTAAACTATTTAAAAGTTTTTTTACGAGTTAGTTTGCATTTGGTATCGAATAAAACAGAAAATTCGAGCAGGATTTGAAAATAAGGAAAAAACTAGGAAAATAAATATAAAATCTGAAAATAATTTTGAAACTCATTAAGAATTTATCAACTCTAATAAATTTCACTTTCGGTGAAATTAGAATAAAATTCAAACATTTTAGGACCTATTCACTGACGTTGCGATGAGCGTTCTAGACAATCACAACTCTACCAAGCCTTTCTTCATGTTTTTATCCTATCAAGCAGTACACCCACCACTTCAAGTGAGTCACACGTCAGCACAATATATCCAGATCAAATAAACACCAAAATAGCAACGAATCTAATTTTAAAGGTGCCGCGCTCCTACGACAAGTATTGCACACGAGTCAAGAATCGCTATCGTCGGATTTATTGCGGTAACGTTGTTTGCAGAATGAATGAGATGGGGTTTTCCGTTTGACCCATTCAGATATATGAAAAAAAACGGCTTCGTTTGCACTTGTGCAATAAAGAATGACGTGAACTATGGTTCTTAGATTCTTCAATGGTTAGGTTTTGGAGCAGCTCAAAAAAAAGAGAACACAAAAACCAAGAACAGAAATCAAATCCTGTTAACTAAAAGAGCTTTATTTAGGCATGTTGACAGCAATGGATTTTGCAATCGGAAGACTGGTGGAATATTTAAAAGCTGCTAATTTGTACGAAAACACTGTGATCGTGTTTACCAGTGATGTGAGAAGGGAAATTTGAATAGCGGGTTGTGGAACATTGATAACTTTCAGAATGGAGGAACTTCAAATTTCGGCGCATCAAATGCTCCACTTCGTGGAGAAAAGGACACTATATGGGAGGGTGGTACAAAAACAACCACTTTTGTGCATTCACCAATGTATGTGGAAGAAGGTGGCAATAGAGAAATGTGAGTTTTTTGAAAATTGCAGGGTTATTTATAGGGGAAATCTTTATTATTTTGTGTTTCGTAGTATTGGGTAGTACTGGAATGTGACGTTTTAACTTCATTACAGATTATGTGATAAATTAAAGCTAGGGAAAAACAAATCTTGCAAAAAATGCTTTTCTGGAATCGGGTCAGATATTCTGGAAAGAAAACATTAGTCACTTCTTTTTTGAGAAGCCGTTTGATTTTTAGACCCAGCATTTAATTTTTAGATTACCGCATATGAACCAAATCTCATTTTCTTGTTATTTCTCAGTGATTCTTCAGGATGTTTCATGTTGTTGATTGGCACGCAACGATTCTATCCATCACTGGTTTGGAAGTTGATTCATATGGTAAGGTTACCCAAAAAATCCCTCAGCCTGCAATAATTTTATTTTGTAGGCGATGGTATCAATCAGTGGGAGTACATAAGAACGAATCGTCCCAAATTTCGTCGCTTCCAATTTGTTTACAACATTGCCGATCACGGCTCTGCAATACGGTTGGTGTGTGTACGACTGAAATTAATGTCATGTGAGTTGACAGCAAACGGGGAAACCTTTGATTGTTTACAGCGATGGTGATTATAAACTGATAGTTGGAAATGTCGATCGAAAGATGTCAAAGGACAAGAATAGGACACGATTGTTCAGGATCTCAAGTAAGATTTCTTTGACAATTGACGTTCTTCTGAATTGTCAAAATTGACGGGCTTCTGAATTTCATAGTGTGATGATAGTAGGGCAGAGATCACGAAACGGAAAATTGAAAAGGAATATTTGAAAAAGGAAACGGTTTTACTGAAAATAGGTTTTGAAAACCGGAAGTTCAAGTTGGGATATTTGCATTCAATTCAACCAAAGATCGAAAAAATGTTGTTGTCAAAAGATTAGAATTCTGTTTTTCTCTTATTTCAGACCACGGAAACGGTCTGAGAGTGTTTAGCACACATTTTCTACGGTTTTTAAAAAAATTCAAGTATGTGGTGACTAGTGACTGCACAGTTTCAATACGGGTCGATCAAAAAATTCTCCAAAGACCACAGTTGAAAATGTGATGATTCTTAAGTTTGCATAAGTACTTCGTCTAGTCTAAAATTTTGGAAATTATTATAAAATACAAAAATTACTTTTTTGTACAAGGACTTTTCAAAACTGTGCAATGCGAAACCATATGCGTTTTGCTTTCCATCGATTTCCGTGGTAATTTTTATATTTCTAGGTATTTTTCTCAATTTACATCTTCACTGTAGAATGTTGAGAGATTTGAGGACATTCATTCATAGTGTTTACGGTATTTATTTATACAGACTAAATTTGATCATATGGTTATTTATGATTTTCTTTATAACCAGTGAAATTGCAAAAAATTGAATGCGCGTCTTGTTTTGCTTTTTTACAATAACTAGTTTTCCGGAAAATCAACAAAAAACTGATGAGTTTGGAAATATTTTGTGAAATTCTAAATTTTGAACTTTTGTCAAAACTACACAATCTCCACATTTTATGTTCCGATTTACATAATTAATGCCAGTTTGATTATTCCTTAATTTCATTCTTCCGTTTTCAGCAGACCCGACTGAATCAAAGGATATTTCCAGAAACAATCCAAAAATTGTTCGAAGGTAGTTCATGTACTCCATTTGGCACTTGACCAATCCACATTTTGCAGACTTCTCTCGAAACTTGATCAGCTGAAAAAGTTCCTCCACAAAAATGTCCGGAAACCGCTGAGTTTATCCGGCAGTCCAGAGCGATTCAACGGAAGTTATTCCAGTTTTTGGTGTGATGGTCAAGCTTGAATCAACAAACCATTGACAATTTTCCCCTTGCTTTACTCATGGTCCTTTTTTTTTGGGTTCCAATTTTTAATATTGCCATTCTGTCTAGTCTAATAAACATAAGTACTGTATTTTTGCTCTATTCAACCCCCATTGTTTTTCAAAGTACATCTATTCAATAGATTGGTATGCTAAACACAAGTGGACCCCAAGGTTTATTGCCAACTGACCCCGTCCACTATCTCTATTCTTTTTGCTATTGCGGTGTACGATTACCGAACCACTGTTGAGCAGATTACGGTCGACATAACGGTCCATTTGAATCTATCTAGCAGATGAAAGGGAAGAGGAGGAGAAGGAGAGGTCACCACCAACTGCGTTGGGAAACCATAAGATTGCCTTTGAGATGGCATTGACATTGAAAACGTAGAAGAGTAAGAAGATCGGTTTGGATGAAAATAGATAGTGGACAGGAGAAACGAAAATCGCGGTTTTCAACAAATCGTAGTAGTGGAAAATTTGTAAATACGTCAGTTGTAAATTAATGTAAACAAGCTAAAAGAAGACTTCCATTTTGAGCTCAATTATTTAACATTCTATAAGAGACTACAAAGATCTGTCAACTGATGAAATATTGGTGATATAAGGAAAAATATTTTATCAAGTTGAGCTCATAATGCAAGTCTAGGGTCAGCTTCTGTTGGAGCAAATTCTGTTATACAGATTGAAAAAATTGAGACATGAGAGCATAAAACAGAAATAATCAAATTCACATGTCCTACCAAAATTATGTTATTAAAACCGGAATAGAAATTTTCTGGAATTCTCAATTTTAGAAAACGTCGAAGACACTCCTCAAAGTTCCCATATTTCCTTGTTCTTTTCTATTCAATCTTCCCTAACTAACAGCTTTTTTTCGAATCTACCGAACTTTTTTCTCAAATTCCTATTTCCGACTTGACGCGAACAAATGAGAAAAAGTCAGTGCAATGCAAACAGAGATTTTTTGTTCTAATCTTTCCGAACTTTTGTGGGATTTCCAACCAACGTCGGCAAATCTATGAAAAAAACAAGATTTTCGAACTCCCCTATTAATGCTTGCGGAAAAGTGTACACTAGATCAGAACAAGCAGTCAATCAAACCTATCCACCAGTCGATATATCCCAATCATTGGCCCTTTCCTTTGATTCTTCCTACTCGCTCAGTCTCCCGGTGTGCAAATGAGTGTCGCTCTAGTTTAAACAAAAATTGACCTATTGCTACACAGCCTTGCTCTGGTCCAATATTTGCCGACGCTCTTTTCCAATAGTCCGACCCAACTCTTCTTCTTTATCCATCCATCTATTCGTTCCCTTCCTTTCTTTCCACACAAACATTTTCTACACTTCTCACTGACCGAGCAGTAATCAAATAGTCGAGTGTGTGAGTGAGAAAGAAAAAAGACGAGTGCTACGACGGATGATTCTACCAAGGTCAACTCCCACACCACGTTGCTTTCTGAATGAGAGATGCTATCTTATCTGTCAATTGCACTGCAAGCAGATTGACCACGACCGATAGTAGCACCGGGAGTATTTCGTCAGATAACGAAATGGGATGATTCGATTCAAATAACACATTTCTTTTTATTGGGGGAAATATACCATTGCAGTTTGCAAGTTTCAAGAGAAAATATATACAAAAAGACAACAGTATAAAACCTAACATTTTTAAAAGTTTTGGGGAAATGGGTTTTGGGTGGGGAGACGGTTGGGTCGGGGGGTTCTTTAACGGTGATGATCAATTAGTACAAGTAACTGTATTTATTATTTTGGGTGAAGACTGCTCTGATTTAGGGTAGAAAACAGTGTGCAAGCCTTAATAAATACGTGGAAATGAAACAAATTTGGTGGAAGAAGGTGCGGTACGGTTTAAAACAACAGTCTGTCCAAACACTCGACTCATTGCTAAGGGTGTAGGGACGAGATGAAACAAGGAGCACCCATGCTCAAAAAATGGGGATTTTAAGAGGAGAGAAAACTACCGAGCGATGGGTGGGAGGGGGTTAACAAGATTTTTTAACAGTTTTGTAAGCGAAGTGGTATCATGAGACGGATTGGTAATACAGAAGGTAAGGCGTCGTGGAGAAGAGATTTACTTCTTCTTTGGAGCGGCCTTCTGGGCGGACTTGGTGACCTTTCCAGATGATCCATCGGACTTCTCGACGGACTTGATGACTCCGACAGCGACGGTTTGACGCATGTCACGAACGGCGAAACGTCCGAGTGGAGCGTAGTCGGTGAAGGACTCGACGCAGAGTGGCTTGGTTGGGATGAGCTCAACGATTCCGGCATCTCCGGACTTGAGGAACTTAGGGAAGTCCTCGACCTTCTTACCGGTACGGCGATCGACCTGGAAAATAAATGGTTAGATGCTTTGTCCATTCGACCTGAAACAATTTACCTTCTCCTTAAGCTCGTTGAACTTGCAAGCAATGTGAGCGGTGTGGCAATCGAGAACTGGAGTGTATCCAGCGGCGATTTGTCCTGGGTGGTTCATGATGATGACCTGAGCGTGGAAGGTGCGAGCCTCCTTGGCTGGGTCTTGCTTGGAGTCAGAGCAGACGGATCCACGACGGATGTCCTTGACGGAGACGTTCTTGACGTTGAATCCAACGTTGTCTCCTGGAACGGCCTCTGGGAGAGACTCGTGGTGCATCTCGACGGACTTGACTTCAGTGGTCACGTTCTGTGGAGCGAAGGTGACAACCATTCCTGGCTTGATGATTCCGGTCTCGACACGTCCGACTGGGACAGTTCCGATTCCTCCGATCTTGTACACGTCCTGGAGTGGGAGACGGAGTGGTCGGTCAGTTGGGCGTTGTGGTGGAATGATGGCGTCAAGAGCCTCGAGGAGGGTCTTTCCGGAAGCATTTCCTTCCTTGCGCTCAACGGCCCATCCCTTGAACCATGGCATGTTGGCGGAGGCCTCGAGCATGTTGTCTCCGTTGAATCCAGAGATTGGGACGAAGGCGACGGCCTTTGGATTGTATCCGATCTTCTTGATGAATCCGGAGACCTCGTTGGTGATCTCAGTGAAACGGGCCTCAGAGAATGGTGGCTCGGTGGAGTCCATCTTGTTGCAGGCAACGATGAGCTGCTTGACTCCAAGGGTTTGGGCGAGGAGAGCGTGCTCACGGGTTTGTCCGTTCTTGGAGATTCCGGCCTCGAACTCTCCGGTTCCGCAAGCGACGACCAAGACGGCGCAATCAGCCTGGGAGGTTCCTGAAAATATCTGAATTCTGAAAGGCCCTTTATCATTCCTAGAATCCTAAAATGTCCAGCCCCCATAAATCTGGCCTAAAATCTTGCAAATTCCAACCCAAACTAACCGGTGATCATGTTCTTGATGAAATCACGATGTCCTGGGGCATCAATGATGGTGATGTAGTACTTGGCAGTCTCGAACTTCCAGAGAGCAATATCGATGGTGATACCACGTTCACGCTCGGCCTTCAGCTTGTCAAGAACCCAGGCGTACTTGAAGGATCCCTTTCCCATTTCCTGGGCTTCCTTCTCGAACTTCTCGATAGTTCTCTTGTCGATTCCTCCGCACTTGTAGATCAAGTGTCCGGTGGTGGTGGACTTTCCGGAGTCGACGTGTCCGATGACGACGATGTTAATATGAACCTTTTCCTTTCCCATTGTAGTTGACCGAGTTGAGGATATACACTGAAAATTGATTGGTTTAAATATTGGAAGGGGTTAGAGCTTTAAGAAGGGTAAAGGAAGACGAGAATTGATGCGAAACCTTTCGAAAATCGAAAAGTCCCAAAATTGTGGGCCTAAAAACGAGACGACCCGACGGACGCACACCACCAGGCGAGGGAAAAGAACACGAATGACGGGAAAAGAAGAGCCCTCTCGTGTGTTTAGGCCAAGGACACTACTCTATTAGCTGCGTACACACCCCTTTTCGTGGCGAGACCCGCCATTGCGTGTGTGCCCCTCGCTCTCTCACTGTCTGCGGGCACTTTCTTGTTTTCGCTCTTTTCTCTGCGCCCTCCAAGTTTCGAAATAATGCGTAATCTCTCTCAACAAACGGTCATGGAGTGAGCGACCTTAATGGACACATACGCTGTTTACGTCGATATGAGTAGATTTTTGAATCTGGTTAGATGGAGGCGACGAGTGTCTGCAAAGAGAAGGGAAACGAGAGCAAAAGTGGAATGCAAAACATCAATAGATCCTCTTTTTCATAACTGGGGAGGGGGACTGACGCTTGAAAGGATGCTGTTTTCAAATGAATCAAAGAGTTATGAATGATATGTTACGCAAGTGGACAACAGCAGTTATGATAATCGGGTGTCGAACGAACAACGGCCGAACAATGCAAATTATGATAATTCGAATGAGAATATGCAGAAAAGGGTGACGGAAGGACAATAGTTTCGTTTTTATGAAGTGGGATGGGGAACCGAGAGAAGAGAACGAAACCAAAATAATTTTCAGCTAGATTCAGGCTAATTTCTAACAAGGTAAGGAGCGAAGCCAGTAAATCTTTAAACCATTAAAAAGGTCAAAAAATGAAACTTCTGTGCCTTTAGCCTGATTACGAAGGTGTGTTGAGAAACTACCATTCAGTGCATTATCAAGCTTTTGGTTCTACTTATCAATGAATTCGGAAGAACATAGTCGAGATTTCTACCGGAAAATGTATCTTTATTGGATTTTTATAATAGCCGTATAACGAAAAATGACAGGAAATGAGATTGTTTCAATGATCTCTGGAATAATTCACAAAGAATCACCTCTGAAATATAACATCACGAGAAAAATGCACCTGTAATAACTGATATTCATCAAAATAGAAAGTGTTTCATTCATCGGAATAGAAGGTTTTTCCACCGAAATTCATTTAGGTTACTCCAAATGATCGATTTCTGATTGAGCAACGCGAGAACCTTGTCTGGTTGAACGATTTCTCGAATTTTAAAGCGAACTATTCAGATTTGAACGAAGTTTCAAAAGTTTCGCTTTAC